TTTTATTTTCCAATATAGGACCTTTGATCATTATTTATTAGTCATTATATCAACTAAATGTCCATTTCATTTGGACATTATTCTTCTCACTAATCATTATCTAAAAAAAATTTAAGTCCTACATTGTTAAAATAACTTATGATTTAATCATATTCAATGCAAATTTTATTTTAAAAAATCAAAAATAAATTTTATTTTATTCTCTAAACAAAAATATAAATTATTTAAATAGTCAATCTTTTGATGTAAAAATTAGGTATTTGAATAGATATCATAAAATTAGGGTAAATTTCATGAATGGTACCTGAACTTTTAGCTGTTTTTCGTTTTGGTACCTAGACTTTTTTTTTCAAAAAAATACCTGAACTTTAAAAATCTTTCACAAATGGTGCCTGGATCCGGTTTTTAGGTAATCATCAGTTCATTTGGGCCAGATTTAAATTTTATACCAAGTATATTTTAAGATTTTCAATTTGACCTCATTTCTTTTTTCATCTTCTCCCCCACCCACTCCCTTCTTTTTCTTCTACTTTCCCCCCTGTTTTTTTTCTTCTTCCTTCCTTTCACCCCATCTTTTCTTTTTCTTCCTTCTTTCACCCATTTTTTTTCTTCTTCTTAATTAAACCCTCCACTCACAACAACCCACCCCTCCCTACTTGTTAACCCCACCCCCTTCTTGAGTCCCCTCTTTTTTTTGTTTAATTTTAACTTCCTCTTTAAGTGTTTTTTGTTTTCGAATTTTTTGTTGAATAATTTTTTTAATTTTTTTCAATTATTTTCTTTTTATATTTCCTTTTTCACATTTTTTTTGTTTTTTTGTTTTTTGTTTTTTCAATCTTATTAGTTTATTTTTTGTTAAAATTTTTGTTTTTTATCTTTTTTCCTTGATACTTTTATATTATTTGTTTGTTTGTTTACGAGTTTTTTGTGAACTTTTTTTTGTAAGTTTTTTACCTATTCTCTTAAGAAGTGTTTCATTTTATTGTTTGTTTTAATTTTTTGTCTTTCCTTGAGCTCCCTCTTTTTGTCTTTCCTTTTTCACGTTTTCTTGTTTTTTTGTTTTTTGTTTTTTTCAATCTTGTTTGTTTGTTTTTTGTTAAAATTTTTGTTTTTTTATCTTTTTTTCTTGATACTTTTATATTATTTGTTTGTTTGTTTACGAGTTTTTTGTGAACTTTTTTTGTAAGTTCTTTACCTATTCTCTTAAGAAGTGTTTGTCTTATTTTTTTGTTTCTTTATTATTTTTTGTTTGTTATTTTCTTATATTTTATTTTTTCATAAAAATGAAGAAAATAAATTAATTAGCATTTGGATTCGTTCTTTTTTGTGGTTGTTCTTTTTTTATGTTTCACTTATTCTTAGTTTGACTTATTTTATTTTATTAATTGATGAGTTTTATTTTATTGAACATTTTAGTTAAACAAAAATAGCATACCATGCATTTAGTGTTTTTGTTTATTTTATTTGAAAACAGACAAAAAAAGTTAACAAACATAAAATATCAAATAAAACAAACAAAAAAGAAGTTTAACTAAAATGATCAATAAAATAAAAAAGTTAATTAATAAAATAAAATAAGTCAAACTAAGAGTAAGTGCAACATAAAAAGAGAACAACACACAAAAAAATGAATTTAAACGTCAATTAGTTTTTTACTTCATTTGATGAAAAAATAAAATATAGCATAAAAATAAAAAACAAAAAATGATCAAAAATAAGATAAAACAACATCAAAAAAAATAAAAAAGTAAAACAAACAAAAGAAATAAGACAATTCTTAAAAGGATAGATTTAAAAAACTTACAAAAAAAAAGTTCACAAAAAAAATTCTAAACAAAAACAATTTAAAAATATCAAGAAAAAAAAGTTGTTTCTTGAAATCTTTATTTATTATTTATTATCTGTTTCTTCCTTTAAGTCAAACAAAAAGATCAAAAAATAAAACAAAAAAACAAAAAATTAGACATTTGTTAGCAAAAAAAAAGTTTGTACAAAAATCGTAAACAAACAAACAAACAATATTAAAACATCAAGAAGAAAATAGAAACAAACAAAAAAAAATATACAAATAAAATAGACCGAAAACAAAAAAAAATAAAAAGGAAAAAATTGAAAAAAAATTAAAAAATTTATTCAACAAAATATTCGAAAACAAAAAAACATTTAAAGAGGAAGTTAAAATTAAACAAAAAAAAGAGGGGACTCAAGAAGGGGGTGGGGTTAAACAAGTAGGGAGGGGTGGATTGTTGTGAGTGGAGGGTTTAATGAAGAAGAAAAAAATGGGTGAAAGAAGGAAGAAAAAGAAAAGAAGGGGTGAAAGAAGGAAGAAGAAGAAAAATATGGGGAAAGAAGAAGAAAAAGAAGGGAGTGGGAGGGGGAGAAGAAGAAAAAAGAAATGAGGTCAAATTGAAGATTTTAAAATATATAAAATTTTAATTTGGCCCAAATAACCTGATGATTACCTGAAAACCGGCTCGAGGCATCATTTGTGAAAGATTTTCAAAGTTCAGGTATTTTTTTTAAGAAAAAAAAATCTTGGTACCAAAACGAAAAACAGCTAAAAGTTCAGGTATCATTCATGAAATTTACCCCATAAAATTATGACCAATGAAAAATAGTTTGTTAGGTTTGGACTTACGTGTAAAACATTATGAGCAAAATAGATGTTACAATTCAATGAGTAAGTTATAAAAATTTTATAATAATATTAAATAAATAAAACCTAATTTATATTATATAAATAAACATCACCTACGGAGAATTGAGGCGATCACGCATTGAATATATTCCAAAATAGTCAGATAAATAAGGTGACTCGCGAGTCGTCTATACTGCGAGGTGTTAAATATATCAATTATCTAATTATATATTATAATTATGGTTGTTACCTATTATAGTTAGAGTTATTATTATATAATATTACCTTATATAATTAGCCATTAATGTGGAAAATTCTAGAATATATATTCTTCCACCTATAAATACATACTTTGTATTCTCCTATATTATTCAAACAATAAAGCATTATTTGTTATTTTACATGGTATCAGAGCCACCGTTTTTGGTGACCTAATTTATATTATATAAATAAACATCACCTACGGAGAATTGAGGCGATCACACATTGAATATATTCCAAAATAGTCAGATAAATAAGGTGACTCGCGAGTCGTCTATACTGCGAGGTGTTAAATATATCAATTATCTAATATATTTAATATTATATATTATAATTATGGTTGTTACCTATTATAGTTAGAGTTATTATTATATAATATTACCTTATATAATTAGCCATTAATGTGGAAAATTCTAAAATATATATTCTTCCACCTATAAATACAAACTTTGTATTCTCCTATATTATTCAAACAATAAAGCATTATTTGTTATTTTACATGGTATCAGAGCCACCGTTCTTGGTGACCTAAATTTCTCCGCTTTCGCTTCCGGCGGGTGGCACCGCCATTAACCGCCGCCCGCCGGATCACTGTTTTCCTCTGACCCAAAACTCTTCCATTATACAAAAAAAGATCTCTATTATAGTCACCGGCGTCTCTAACGTTCTGACCGGCGACCCCTACTCCACCAAACTACCGGCCTCTCTTGGCCCCGATGCGAACAGACTCATGCTGTTGACGTCGAAAGATGGAGAAGGTTGACGCGCGCTGGAGTCGTGCACGACTGGGTTAGAGAAGAAACACAGGAATGAGGTACTGCCGGAGATGCATGTTGACCGAAGATCTACCCACGAAGGAGGTTGGAGTGATGATATGAGTTGTGAGAGATCGAAAAAATAGGGAATGAAGGGTGATTGGAGGAGAAGGATTTCTGATCAATGAGCCAAATCAGAGGCTCTAGAGAGATAAGGCATCTTGATAGTCCCTAGAACACCGATGACACCAAGGACACCCCTTTCAAAGGCAAAGTGAACCTGTGCCTCATGTTACTCTCGAGTGAACAGGTGCGATCTTGGCGACAAGAGAGGCCGGTAGTTTGGTGGAGTAGGGGTCGCCGGTCTAAACGTTAGAGACGCCGGTGACTATAACAGAGATCTTTTTTTGTATAATGGAAGAGTTTTGGGTCAGAGGAAAACAGTGATCCGCCGGGCGTCAGATAATGGCGGTGCCGCCCGCCGGAAGCGAAAGCGGAGAAATTTAGGTCACCAAGAACGGTGGCTCTTATACCATGTAAAATAACAAATAATGCTTTATTGTTTGAATAATATAGAAGAATACAAAGTATGTATTTATAGGTGGAGGAAAATATATTCTAGAATCTTCCACATTAATGGCTAATTATATAAGGTAATATTATATAGTAATAACTCTAACTATAATAGGTAACAACCATAATTATAATATATAATATTAAATATATTAAATAATTGATATATTTAACACGAGGAACCATGCAAGGGAGCCCTACACCGTGAGTCAACTTTAGAGGTTTGGCGGCAAGCTTGTAACCCAATAATCCAACCTTTGTTCTCATTCTGGTATGGTGTTATGCCAACACAAGTACGCGTTGAATATATTGCACAAAGCTTGATTATTGGGTTACAAGCTTGCTGCCACACCTCTAAAGTTGACGCACGGCTTGTCCACACCATCTAGGGCTACCTAGCATGATCCCTCACAGTATAGACAACTCGCGAGCCACCTTATCTATCTGACTACTTCCAACCTCATTTATCATATTCTGTCTATGAAAAAAGAAAAAGAAAAAGACATTTGGAAAAATATGAATATAAAATAATTTTCCTTGAAAATCATTTTCCAGTATGTTATGTTTGATTCAGAGAACTTGAAAGACAAAATAAAAGACAATAAAATGGAAAACATATTTCTTGTTTGATAAGAAAAAAAGAAAAAGGAAAATAAATTAGAAGACAAAGAAACTAAGGAAAACCATTTTCTATGAAAAAACCAATCAAACACACCCATAAAGAAAATTATTTTCTCTCATTCCCATTCATTTTCTTTCAATCAAACACACTCATAAAGAAAACTATTTTCTTCCTTTCTAGTTCATTTTCTTTTTTTCTATTCAAATTTTTTGAACCAAACATTGTGTAAAGATTTTCTGCGATACGGATTATTTGTGTTACATGATTTATAAATATATACGGAGTATGAGGTTTCGTTTTTCAGGAGCATCTTGCTGCTGCAAGAACACAGAACACACAAATTCCAACAATTATTAGTAATGATCAAAGCCTGGTAAGTTGATCCTTGGATGTGCTCTCGAAGATCATGTCTGCATTTCCGACCTCGAAGCCATCTCGCCGGTGAAATTCCTTCACCTGTGTAAATCGATTGCCAGAGACTTCCAGTTATTATAAACATATATGAGATCAAGGCAATGTGAAAATGATGCATTTTTCCGAAGTGTCCCAATATAAGGTTTTAATATCCCCTTGATATTAAAGTCTGGTGGGGTGCAATTGACGGGGGTGGGGATGGGTTTGGGTCATGCGAGGGTGAGGAGACTTACGGGGGTTAGGAACCATCAAATTTTTGAATGGAGCACCGTAGGGATCCCAAATGGGGCTCATGTCATAGCATGACACGGGGGACTTATGTCATGGGATCACGCCCCTTTAATATAGGCGGGAAACTCCAATATTACCTTACAATTTTACAAGAGGGTGTTATACCATGTCAAGGTCCCCTTCATCAGGAAACTATATTTCTTTCGAGTGAATTCTAAAAGAGAAATTACTGGAGAATTCCACAGAGGTAAGATCACTTACATCATTCTCAGGCAAATCTTTAAACTCTGGCAAGACGAGACGCTCAGCAAATTCAATGTACGAACAAGGGACTGATTCCGTTTTCCCATCCGAGAATTGGAAAGGTGCTGAATCAGCCACCGTTGAGCTTTGCAGCAGAAGGCCATCAGGGCTCACTACCAGGAAAACACATCAAAAGTTAGACTCCTCCATTTCAGTATTCGAAAATGGCAAGCAAAACTTTAGTAATCAAAACACTGAGGTTGCGTTTGGTAGGGATACTAAGTTTTTTTACCCTGTCTAAACAATCTACCAAATGTGCCATGAGTACTAAACATTGAAATTTATTTTTATTTTTTCAGTATGTGTAGTCCACTGTCCACCACAGTTACTAAGAGCCTTGATTAAAAGGGATATCATTTACAAGATGCATTTGCTCACTCACCTTTCAAAGTACCTCCTTTTGAGTTGAGCTTGAAACCATTCTCCTCGATGAACCGATTGAAATTTTCAATACTTCTCAAGTTTGACTTCAAGCGATGCGTAGATATAGTCACGTGGTTCAAGGCATAGCCATTAACAAGCGTCCATGCAGCATATTCACTTTCACTAGAATCATGAAACAAAAGAAGGCCAATTGCATAGGTTCTTAAATGGGGCTGATTCAGAAAGGCAACGTTCTAGTTAAATGCCGAAGGGCAGTGCTAATTTGGTAAGAGTTTGGAAGTTTGGATTCTGGAGGGGAATGGACGAGATTGGTTATTTTTTGAATCAAGTCTTATAAAAATAATACTAAATAACTAAAAAAAATGAATTTACAATTTTTTACTAATTCATCATTTTATATCTTTACTCTTGACAAATTATCAAGCTTAATGAAAAATTTGTATAAAAGAAATTGCCCTGCCACCCC